AAAAAAAAAACCATTCAATTATTCTTTGCAAACAAATAATTATTTCAAATTATATAAAACTATGAGAACCTTTTTTTAAGTGTTGTTAACACTATTAATCTACCAGTCTTTTACCTATAAAATGGAAGTAGGACACAAACTTCAACCAAGATTTTTACTTCTTAGCTTTTCCAGTAGTGTTTTTGRTACCAGGGATTGAATCCAGGGGCACTTAACCACTGAGCCTTATCTCTGGCCCTTTTTATTTTCATTTTGAGACAGGGYCTGAGACAGGGCCTCGTTAACTTGCTGAGATTGGCTTTGAACTTGGGATTCTCCTGCCTCAGCCTCTCAAGCCACTGGGATTACAGGTGTGCACAACCCAGCATAAGCAGTTTTCTTTATAGCAAAGTACAAGAAAGCAGAAAGACACTTCCTGGCATTCATCTCGTTGTATATGTAATTAATTGCATGTGTTGGATATTGAAAATCCATGGCAAGAGTTCTATTCAGCTTCCATTTAATGGGTAACATTAGTCTSATGTTTCCAACAAGATGAAGTGAATTAAATTGCCTTTAATTAAAACATGCTTCTTGGCTATCTGAATTAGGGGATATAGAGGGAATTTAAAGGCTAGTGTAACTTTTCCTTAGCAGTGAATCTCTTTCATTTTGTTTTGTTTGCTCTGGTTTTTCCCTTGACATTTTTCGGTTTGTTTGTCACATGTGTATGTTTTCCAGGAAGGGGAAGTTATTTAGAAATTAATGCAGTACAAACCCTCTTGATAAAAGGAAAGTGTGCTATTTATGTAAATACATTTTAATAGTTCTGAATTATATAAATGTAAATGATATAAAGGATGAAGGTAATTTTTTGCTCTATCTCAGTATGCATATAGCTAACTTCTTGTGAAGTCATATTGGTATATAACTTGTAACTTATCATTGGTATATAAATTATCATGTAATCATGTTCCCATTTTACTTTGTAATTTGAACTAACACATTTTTATCTTTAGAAAGCTATTATCCAATCCTACTGGTCTCCAGGATGACAGCTGCAAAAGTATTTCACTCTCAAAGTAACCAACTAAACTTTTACTTTCTGCAAAATTCATTTCACCCTTCTGTGGTTTTTTTTTTTAATTTTAATTAGCTAGCTTTAGTGTCTATCTTAGCAGTCACGATAGTATGTAAACTTAGTGTTTGATTAAAATTGGAATCTTTAAACTACACTTGAGCTTTGTTTCATCAAATCAGCCTGTGATTGCTTATGTATTCTGTTTCTCTGTCTTTCTATAAGGCTGTCTTCCAACAATGACATATTTTCTTGAACACTTGATCCTTTGGTGACCTCATAAGTACCTTGTAACCTGCTTGCAATTTTAAATAAATTGTATATATGATCAGACTTACTCCATGAGTTCTCAAAACAGGTTTGAATACAGGGCATACCTTGAACCAACTGAATGTCTTCAGACAACATTTTGACTGATCCTTATCTTTAATTGTAGAGAGAGATTCCTAAAATAAAATATACATTTATTGAGAACCTGTGTGTACTAGRAGAGAAAGTAAGCTAGGCATTTTTACATGTGTTCTTTTGTTGTAGTAACCAAGTCTTAATTCATTTAAGAGAACCTTTAAAAATATATATTTCTTACTATCTGTTGGGTCAAAAATCACTGGTAACAATAAAAAGATTAGTTTTTAATCTTGAAGTTATTTTGAGAAAGAGACTACTAACTACTTATAAGAATTTGTATATCAGTTATTTTAAATTTAACTTGAAAGTTTTAAAAATAGATAATTTGAAAAAAGCTCACTGGATTTTGAAGGTCTATTTTGAAAATATCTCTGTTCTCTAGTTCTGATAGCCTGGTTCTTTTTATTAGTCCTGATTTCATCTGGCAGAAATAACAATTTGAGAATAAAAATCTTGTAAGACAAGCATAAGTACTCTTTTTTTTTTTTTTGAGGAAATGGTTGGATGTGTTTATTTCTTTTTTTATTAGTTGCTCATGACAATACAATGATCTTGACATATCATACATTTGATTCAAATGGGGTATGAGAATAAGTACTCTTTTGTTTAAAAAAAAAAGAATTTTCATGCACAGAAAGAAGCCTTGGGTTCACAGATAATTCATGTTCTAAGTAGCTGTGCTACTGAAGAAAATAACTATGCTGGAATGGTGGGGCAATTGTGGTATTTAAAAGACTCACAAAAGTGCGAGCACTAAGAAAATATATGCCAGGTTATTGTTAAAGAGTTTTGAAAGTTATTTATAAAAGTTATGTGGTTCTGTTGCATTTCTGTATTTATTAATATTCTCATTGATTCCTTATGTATTATATATGGGTCCTGCTTGGAAGGTGATTGTTTGTTTGTTTTTGACTTATTTAGATCCTACTCAAATGGGAGGCCTGAGCATGCTGCTGTTAGCTGGAGAACATGCTCTTGGCACACCAGAGGTAAGCCAGTCCCTCATTCCTTTCCACCCTGCTCATGCTGGGGCTTAGGAACACAGACATTTGTATTCAGTTCACATTGTTATTTCTGCAGTTCACTGCTTACAGCTCATGAGCAAACTTTACTTATAATTGTTTTCACTACGATCTGTCTGTGCATCTGGTGATTTGAGAGTAACAGAAGTGGTGTTAATAAACCAAGAGGATACAAACACAAGTCTAGTGGAGATTTTGCGGGTCTGTGTATCTAAAAGTAAAAAATGCAATGTACAATTAGTTGGCCTTTGCTGTGACTGTGTCAYGTGTATGTACATTGTGTCTTACAATTCATTTATTCTCTTCAAAACTTTTCTGCTGTTTTGATGTTCTCATTTGGACTTCCTAGTAGAAAAATGATTGTTAAAAATATGAAATTATCCTTCTCTCTAGTACCTGAATTATCTATTTTAAAAATCTGACAACATGGCTTTCCAGAATTGCTTCATTTTTAAGAAGGAAAAGGAGGGACCCTTGTGAGCTTGGTTTCACAGTCTAGTTATTGAGCTTCTCTTGCTAGACATTTATGGGTGTGATTTTGATGGGCACATAGTAACAGTTAACCACACATAGTTTGCATTCGTAGAATCTTTTATTTTCCAGACACTCTTAACAGAAGCCAGTCAGATTAACCTGCTGGTCATGTTATTTTAAAACACTTGGGTTCTTGAGATAAAAATTTTCAGTCCTCATCCAGAATATCTATATAGGGCAAAATAGCCTGTTGCCTCAATTTTATCACAGTTCTATACTTTTAACTTATTTTTTTTTTAATTTTGAGAATGCTATATAGATGATAGTGAAAGCCTATTCAACTGTATAGGCTGCTTATATGAGACTATTGTTATTTATAGTTTATATTTGGGATCCACAGTTGTTGACTATCTGTTCAGTTTAAATTATTTTGATTCTGTTCAATTTAGTATATTAAAAATGTATATATTTGTTGTATTCTTTAACTGGGGGGGGGAACATTTGTGCTACTTGGTACCTTTGCAAACCCATTATTCAGCATGTTTGTACTTCCTAACACAGTAACATTGTCAGGCATCATTTCACTTGCCCCTCCACATGGTATTACCTAATGGCAAATCAGGTAAACTCTCATTTAGGTATAGTGTATCCCAAGCATGTTCCAAAGATGAGTGTTGGAATAACAACACACACTTGACCTTTCAACACAGCTGCACTCGTGATTTCCAAGAGTGCTTTGCATTGGGAAGTCAGCATCACCTCTCCTAACAGATTATATGAGGATGGTAGTTTTTATTCCCAACATCTTTTAACATTATTTCTTACTTTTTAGTGCAAGTATAAATCAACATTTGTAGAATTTCTGGATGATAATCAAAGAAAGGGATACTTCACCCAAACCCTTTGCTTAAAGTTGTGCCTCATGGGGTCTTTTTAGTGAGAAGTTCTCCTATTCCCTTTTAAAGCACAGAATATCAAAAAAAGCACTGTAAGTCATGCAGTGGTAGAACTTTTATCTCTGATGTGGAAACATTTTGAGAATTCTCAAGCTAAAAGAAGCAAAGTTAAATGACTTATCAAACTAAGGGGRAAAGCAGATTTTAAACAACACAGCTCTGTCTTCATATTCCCTACCCCTCTCCTCAGAGATATGTGGGTTATTAGTGAAAATAATCTTGACAGATTAGAACAATAAAACAGTAAAAAATATAATCTGGTATCTTTGCAAATATCATTAGTTTGAGAGTTTACTTCATAGATATCAGTAGACTTCCCTTAGTCTTTCGATTTCTGTGCAAAGTCTTAATTATATAATTCAATTATATAATAGAACTTCAGGGACTTATTTATGCAGCCAGATAAACATTAGCTAAACATAGTAAATGTATACTTAAAATTTTCTAAGAAATTTAGCGGGAATATAGAACCTTACCCCAGATGAGAGATTCAAAAGTTTCCTATTTTTGACATTTAGAAAAATAACTGTAAAATTTGACATTCACAAAAATTCTGCCACAGGAATGGTTTAATCATATGGGTTTTTARATACCATGTAACAATCTTATTCTAAAATATTATTCTTAAAGGGTGGAAATTTTCTTTTGTTCATTGAACTGAGACCTACTCACATAGAAAAAGTTCTTAACAGACTTTTTAAAGTATAAAATTAATATAGGTAATAGATTTACTTTTACTTTAACTGAAACAATAAAGTCCCAAATTAAAAGATTGTGTTTTTTTGTTTGTTTGTTTGGCTTGACCTATCTTAATGCTCTTAGAGTTTTTAGAGAGAAATTTCAATTTCTTGAGAGATCAGTAGGCAAATAATAGTAATGTTTGAATTTTCTCTTTTTCCTCATCTTAATCTTTCATAATCAATTTGTGGCTTTACTAGGTCAACATTTTTTTAGTGCCTCTTTACTAACCTGAGGTGGCTTTTATAGTCTCAGCTGTGGTAACTTTGTGTCTAATAAATAAAAAGGGTGAATTTTGATTTATAGTTTCTTTTATTTTTCACACATTTTCTTTATAATTTACTATAATTTGTTAAATATTTTTTATACCTGCAGTATAATGAATGCATAAACTATTAGAGATAAATTTTTAGAAACAATGTATGTGTTTATATAATTTATTAATTAAAAAATTGATATGTTGAGCAAGACAAACATAAAGAAAAGTGATTTCTGGCTCAAAAYGGTAGACTAAGTAAGTCTTTACTGACAAGAATAACTTAAAGAGGAAAAGTTTATTTTTACTCATGGTATCAGAGGTACCAGTTCATGGCCATCAAACTTCATTGCTCTGGGCCCAAGATGAGGCAGCATGTCGTGGCAAAAAGCCATGGTGAAGGGAAGCTGCTCTCCCCACGGTGGGCCAAAAACAGAAAACTTGGTGGTAGTGGTGGGGGGGCATAGAGAAGATATACCCCTCCAGGGCACATTCTCAGTGACTACCTCCTCCAGTAATACCCCACCTGCCTACAGTCACCACTCAGTTAGTCCATTCAAACTAAGATGGACTGATTATGTTATAGATCTCATAACCTAATCATTTGTCTCTGAATATTTCTGCATTAACAGGCGCTTTTGAGGAACACCTCATATCTAAACCACAACACCATATAGAATGTAAGCATAGCAGTCTCATTAGAAAATAACCACATAGCAGTGAAATAAGTAGCAAGGAATGTTTCCAATGTTATAAATTTAGTCAGAAACCAAGTAAAGTTGTTTAATGAAAATAATGAGATCCAGATAAATAGGTAGGAGGGAGCTACAGAGGAGATAAGAGGCAGTCTCATTAGAATGCCCTGAAATTTAAAGGAATATATACTTTTTAGAAAAAATAAGTGTGCAAAAGACAAGTAGAATAAATAAAAATAATAATGTTCATATTGAACTGAGAAGACCTAATAAGAAGGCAGTTTGCTTCATGTCAGGGAATTATCTAAAGGTGAAAATACAGCACTCGGAATGCAACTCACCTTGAGTGGCATGCCCAGGTTCTACCTCTACTATAAAGGGAGAGTGGAGGGCTACTAATGAAAATACAGTAAATAAAATGGAAGTATTTGATCTGGAATTGCCGGAAGTCACCTTTAAGACTAAGAATATTCTCTTATATTTGTTAGTTACCTTAATAAAAATGCAAAACTAAATTACATTTTWAAAAATAAGGCAGGGAGTGATAGAATTTAGAGGGTATATRAAGGGCAGTTATTCAGCATCTAACATATAAACAAGAATGTGAGGTGTCCACCAAAAGTTCACTTGAGACAATCCAAAAAGGTTTGGAGAAGAAATGATTGGGTTATGAGAGCTTTACCCCAGTCAATGAATTAATCACCTGATGGGATTAACTGAGTGGTAACTGAAGGCAGGTAGGGTATGGTTGGAGGAGATGGGGCATTGGGGGCATGCCTTTTGGGGTATATATTTGTATCTGGCAAGTTGGAGWCTCTCTCTGCTTTCTGACCATCATGTGGGTTGCTTTCCATACTCTTCCACCATGATGATCTGCCTCACCTTGAGACCCAACTATCCATGAACCGGAGGCCTCTGAAACCATAAGCCCCCAAATAAACTTTTCCTCCTCTAAAATTATTCTCATTAGGTCTTTTACTCACAGCAGTGAAAAAGCTGACTAAAATAGTGGGCTAATGTTAGAAAAAATGATATTGGCATTGAACCTTATTGAACAATAGAAAGATGTCTTAACTAGAAAAGAAAGAAGAATGGTTGGGAAAAACTGGAAAATAAGATAAGTTAGGTGGCATAATCATAACTGATGGTGAAGTTTTGAAGACATCAGTATTTACTCAGTTGAATAACTAAAGCCAGACTTTCCAATGTTTGCAAACTGCCTCAGACCTYAGGGCTGTGATTTCAGAATACTAGCTTTTTCTATTGGAACAAATAGGATAGTAAAGTTTTGATCAAGCTAGTTTTTGTTTTGCTTTCCATTCTGTGAAATGGAGCTAATAATACCTGCTTGCCCTTTACTCCCAAAACTACTATGAAGATTAACTAAATAAAACCTGTAAGGTAGGTTTTTCCTGGAAAGAATTTTTGTAGGTATAGTATTATTACCTTAAGTTATTCTGGGTATTTCACACTTGACTTGGAAGTTTGAATTATATTAGGCATTATTCCCGCAGGTTGTAATATACTTTACAGTTTATGCATGTGCGTGTACACACACACACACACACACACACACACACACACACACCCTTACTTGTCCATTGAAACCTTATAAGAATTTACAGTTGTAATTTACTCTTTATCATCAAGTACTCAAGAAGGAGACAACTTTTTAATACCTGGGGGAAATCAATATAGGAAGTAATGACTTAAGCAGAGTAGCTGAATTAGCATCAAATTAGTAGATAAGGTTCCATCAGGTGATGGGCTTGCTTCCTATAAAGCCCTGTGGGGAAAGTTCATGTTACATGAGAATTGAACAGTGTAAAATTGAGTGCTGTCTTTGCA